TAACAATTGATTTTTTAAAAATACTTCAGTGTTTAACTTTACAAGAGAGAAATGAAAAACATGCAAAAAAAGCACAACTGGGGAATATTGCTTGAGACTTTAGGCCATATTATGAGCAGCATAATGAGTAAAGCGAGTGGCCAAACATTATTTATGCATGATGTCCTTTTATGTTAAATCAAATTTCTTCCATTCTTATTTTCTTTGCCATGAAGTGAAGTGGCTCGGCTAATGGATGAAGACTCCAAAATAAAAACCAGACGCCTCTATCACATGTCGAAAAGTGTCATCTTTGACAGAGTTGCATTCAAAATAGATGATATTATACAGAAAGAGTTCAACTGAAATGGGAGACAATTTTCAAAGTAATAATTCACAATAACCACAAATAGAAACCTTATCAATTTATATGTACAGTACCGAGAGACGTGTTTTATCAGGCAGATGAGTGGATGGAGAAGGATGTAATTCACACAGAATAACTATCATGCAGTCATCATAAAACACGTCGAGTTAGCAAATGTAAAAATGTTGTTAACAATATGCCAATAATGCACGATAAACATCATATACAGTGTATCGACCTGTATACTTAGAGATAATGCGTCTTAATAGGCAGATGAGAGGATAGAGAAAGATGGAATTCTCACAGAATAACATTCTGTCAGCCATGCATGCGCTTTACGTTTTGCCCATATCTACTAAACAGTGTTGACTGTTTCATGAGAAAGTAAGATTGTATCAGTGTTAAATGTGCAAAACAATCATTGTGATTCTGATCATATATCGGCCGGTCAATTATTTTATATTTATAACAACCATCCACCAAAAAAAAAAAAAAATGTCAAGTCCATTTTCATCAATTTCAACCACAGCTTTAATTCTTGAATTACTTGAGTGACAAGGCTCATCAGAGGTTGAGTACACACTATATACATTGAGGTCTGGGCTCGCTTCCAATACCTCCTGAGATATTCTCGATGGAGATATTTTTAAAATGTGTCTGCAGGATTTTGGCTTCAGGCAAGTTTTGCCTGCAATTCAAGGAAAGAGATTCTTAAAAGACAAAGACAAAGCAATCTTTAAAATCAGATGAACAAAAGTTTTAGTCAGTGACTTAGGGCTGGAACAAACAAATATTTTCGGAATCTGTTATCTTATTGATTACTTGGACATGTGATCAGAACACCTCTCCACATAACATTTGAGTTTGCCAAACTTGATCTGTGAACACTCTACTCACGTCAAAGTAAAGAACATTTTAACATTGCTTTTCATAAAAGCCAGGGTCTTGTGTTGTTCATAATCCCAAGCGGCCATTAACGGTTTCTCCACTGCCAGCAGATGTGAGGACTTATTAAAAAAAAAAAAAGATGCAGCAGCAACTGTCATGCTCGCCTGGTCCTCATTTATTTTTCTTCCACATTTCCCACAATAATCATGTCACGTCACACTCAAACTCGATGACTGCTTAGCCACGTTGGCGCTACGGAAACTAACTCGCTACATTTGCAAAATGAATACAATACAGTGTGTAGTCTACTATCAGCTAACACCATAGACTGCGTTCAAGCTAACAATGGTAGAATCCTCTATATTACATTAAAACAGACAAAACACCCCATTTACTCATTGTAGTGCAATAGTGCATGGGTGGCCGGCCGGGCAGGCGACCTAGCCACCAGCTGGTAGTCACGCATTTACGTCACCGTTTCCAAGCGCCCCCAGCTCCGCTTTGCAGTAACAGCATAAAACTTTAACAAATTTGAGGACAAAAACAACCACAAGCCCTGGGCATAATACAAGGCTGGACACTTTTTGGTTGCCGGAAAAGTGCACGATACATATCCGGCTGCCCATGTGGAAACATTGGTTTCAGGCATGGCAACTATGGTCTTAAAATTATTAGTTATAGTTTCGAAGCCATGGTTATTTGTATCAAAGCTTTTTTTGTGACCAACATAAGAGAGCACTTGGAATAACTCAGCAGAGTGACAATGAACAGAAAGACTTGGTACACAAGGCCACAAATGCACATCATGCAAAATAAAAGCTTATTTCATGTTGTTTGCTGACGATTATTAACAGTCGCCTCCATCCATTCAAACACTTCAACGTAATGGCCCGGATGAGAGGGCAATTAAAATTAGCTACCACACCAGTTGAGGTTTTCAGTATTGTGCAATAAATACAATAGAAACAATATGTGGTGCCATTTGATATTTAAGATGACTGTACAGTATGTACTTGTATTGGTGTGGAATGTACAGCAACATCTCGCCATGCTTAATGAATGAACACCAATTATAATTTAGCACTACATGTCAGTGAGGCAACGCTGGTTGCCATTTCTCTTCCCTTCCGTCTCCCTGCAGTAGCAGCGCATCTCCAGTCTTGGCATCAATCATCCATCCCACGGGCAGATATGCAATCCAACTGTGCAAACAATTAAAGGCAACTCCTCTGCAATCCAAACCTCGCAGGCGTGTTGCTGTGCAGCCAGCATGCTTACACATTAACTCGACAGAAGCACTGGTGAGTGGCATTTTTGTGAAGGGTTTGCTGAAGTGAGGACGATAAAACAGTCCGGCTACCTGTTGCAACAATGAGAACCTTTGAACTGCCGTTTTCAATTTGCCATACATCTCCCTTTATAATGAACAACCAATTGGTTTCCTTTTTATATCATCAACTGATTTAATTAATGAGCAACACAGCATTTTCAGCAAGGCAATTTCAAACCAATATGAAATTAAACTTAACCTTAATTGAAATTATGGTGATTGAAGATTTCTTGTCACCTGCTTGCGTGTTTCACTTGGTTCATCACAGCGGTGTGTGTGTGTGTGTGTGTGTGTGCGTGCGTGTGCGTGTGTGTGTGTGTGTGTGTGTGTGAGAGAATGTCACTGCTTCATCAACATTTTAATAATGATGCAATTTCTTTTTTGAAGCATGCTTTGTTCAATGCCTTGATTTTAGTGAGGTTCGTACAGTCACAGCCATGAATGCAGTTGTACGGTATTCATATTTTTGTGATAATTATTTTTTCACAATAATTCTATTTATATTGCACCTTTAAAAACAGAGATTTATGAAGTGCTTTGCCAAACCGGAAGCCATATCTAAACATGGAAATGGCAATAAGCTGTGTAAGATGCCAATGACCAAACCGCATAAAATCAACAACATCACCACCACCACTTATAATCAAAATGATCCAAAAGCCCCAGGCAAGTCAAAGAACGTAAAAAAATCCCAACGGAGACCAAGTGAGTGGATGTGGATGGGAAGGTAAAACTAGTTTGGTGACTAACACCACAGTCAATGTCAATCTGCAAATTGTGACAAAACCAAAACACTCAAACTATTTCCGCTCGATACTGGGAACACTTTTCCATCTGCGGCTGTCAGATCGAGAAGGACCCCAAGCAATTGTCTGTCTTTCAGAACACCCTCATGTTATTTGGAGCTAAATCAAGTGTCAATAGCTGGTGGTCAGGTGACGTGACGGTGAGCAATCTGACACCCGATAACATTCCTCAACACTTTTGACGATATGCAACAACAATTGGCTTTGTGCGTACAGTTCATGACAGTGTTGCACAAGCTTCAAGAATTCAGCTGATGTCAAATACTATGGTGCGCGGTGAAGGGACAAGTAGAAAAAAGGAATATGAGTGGAATGTTCCTTCGAGATATAAAAACAACCAGTTTCCTTTACGGCCTTTGGCTGGGCCTCTCCCACATTCACCCTGAAACAGTCTTCATCTGTGCTGTAATCACAAAAGCAAGAATCTACTAGTGTAACCACTGACATCCACTGGTTGGCCACAGACAGAGCTCCTGTGTGCACTACATAATCCCCACACAGCTGGACTCGAGTGCAATAAACCTCTGTAAGGGGTTCACGCAATTCAACACCAAGCGAGCCAAGAGGCAGGTGGGGATAAGCAGAGTTATACAACTCTGCTTAAAAATCCACACGAACATTCGCAGCAAAGCTCCATGAAGACACAATAAAATGGCTTGAAAAAGGCAAAATGAAGAAACAGATCAGCAAGCTTTTGCAAATGTTTACAGCATGAGATGTCACTGATCAATCTCTATTGAGCAAAGTTAAGCCAAGGCTGGAAGAACACTTGCAAGTGTTTTCAAGTTCAAAGTCAGGTCTATTGATTCGGGTGCTATGTTGCAAGTAACTCATAGAGCAGTGGTTCTGAACCCTGGGTTCGATCAAACTCCAGGGGTTCGGTCAATCAGTCTCGGGGGTTCGACGGAGCCTCTGCCATGGAGGTTAAGACACACACGACTCAACATGTCAATTAGTTATAACACGCCCGCTTGGCCATCACTGGCTGCAGATGATCACGTTACATTGCTTGTCCAATCAGTGCTGCGGGAAATTTAGCTCGCTCAGTAGTCAACGTGTGACTGTCGTGATAGTACGGGGTGTGATTAAAAAAAATAAATAAATAATAATAATACATGCTATGTCGAGCAAAAAAAGGAAGTGGTCAGACGAATACGTACAACATGGATTCACATGCATCACGGAACATGATGAGACTCAGCGTCCTATCTGCAGGATTTGTCATGCCAAGTTGAGCAACTCTAGTCTCACACGGCAAAACTGAAGATACGCTTCTTGAATCATATTTTTATTTTTTGCTCAGGGTTCGGTGAATGTGCATCTGAACTGGTTGGTTTTGGTACGTCAAACTGTGTCCTATGTGTTGTGTTGTGTTATTTTTGTTATTTTGACTTCAAGATGGCCCCGCGTGAGTGGCTGCCTTTCCAGCAGCTCCTATATTTTGTTGTTCTACTTCTTCCATTCATAACTTTGCTGCTGTGAATTGGGAATTTCTCCATTGCGAGACTAATAAAGGTTTTCTTATCTTATCTTAAACAAGGTTAAGAACCACTGTCAAAGACCAAGACTCTTACGCTCAGTAATGAGCTGAAATGCTAATTTATTTAGTCCCCCCCGCCCTCCCACTTACCTCCAATACTGGACCTGCCCCCAAGATGATCTGCTCCACTCCACTGGCAAAACCTTTCTGGCTGAGAGCGGTCAGATGATGAATAAGAAAGTTTGTACTTTGTGTCTTGCCAGAGCCACTTTCTCCAGATATAACAATGCACTGATTCGTCTGTCTCTGCAGCATCGCATGGTAAGCAACATCAGCCACTGCATAGATGTGAGGCTCTAAATCTCCCAGTGAGTGATTATCATACATCTTCACATATTTGGGATTGTAGATGGGCAGGAACTTGAAGGGGTTAATGACAATGAGGATACTCCCAACGTAGGTGTAAATCTTTTCCTGGTGGAAACGTGAGCGCAGGTTGTCCAGCAGCGAGCGCTCAGTGAGCTCCGGCAGACAACATAAATCGGCATGGTCACCTTGGGTTTCGGGCTGCGGCAATAGTCCACGTTCCACCATGCGCCTGCGTTCCTCTGTGACCTGCAGCCACATCTGGAGGCTGCCGCCATAGTGAATTGAACCGTCGAGGTTCTTCAGCCGTAGGAGAAAGCGGTAATCTTCGCCTCCGGACAGAGAGCGATGCTCGAGTGCCACACGGGGCCAGAGCATCATTCTCTGCACGGGGCAGTCGCTGGGGTTGAGAATCCATTCTTCTCCACCGAACTCTTTCACCTCTGCCAGAACGTAACACTTGGTACGGTCCAGCTGGAGTCGGTCAATGACACGTTCGATCGTCTCAGCAGCTGAGGTTGTCTTTCGAGCACTGATCGGGCAGTAGATGGTGCCTTCGGCCAGCGTGCCTGGATAGACGCGCACGGTGAACTCAGAGTTCTCCAAGCGCTGCCGCCGTCCCAGAGTGCCCATGCCGCCAACTCCATCGCGAGCACTCATGGCGGAGGAGGAGTTCCCATTAGTGGCTGTCAGGCACGTCCTTCACTGGGCGGTAGGGGGCACCGACTTCAAGTCATTACCACTGTAAGGACAAGACAAGCAAGACAGAAGAACATGGGATCAATTCATTTCACAAAGCTACTTTCACAATCATAGGACACTGTCTTGTGGGTGCAAACACCAGCCGACATATAGAAAAATATAGCAGTGACAGGAACTAGTAATGTGACTCTGCAATCAGAAAGCAATGAAGGCGGAGCAATCTGAAATTTGAAGGATTATGACAAAAGCAGCATTGGACATGATGTTACGTAATGTGGCCAAATGATTTTGCTGTGGAGCCCAACATGCACACTCATAGAGGATAAAGGACAAGTCCCCTGGATCTACAGGATTATCATTAACACACATCCTTACTCCCAAGAGCACACATAAGCTCCCCCAAACACTAAGACTCGCAGCTGCCGGCCTTTTTCGTGAGCATACAATCACGCCATTCACAAGTTTCTCTCGAATACATTAAGAGACACAAATACTGTGCTGTGAACCGCTTTATTTGCCAGTGCACAAACATTTACCATGTGAGTCACTGTTATCAAAGCAGTCAGTGTCTTTTTTGAGTCATTTCAGTTGGTATATTTTCCTTTTTGCTGTACGTGAGATGGTGACCAATCCACGGGGGTACCGGGCCTCTCGACCAAAGCAAATCGGGAAAGGCTCAATTTCACCGGTGACCCTAATGAGGACAAGCGGTGGGGAAAATTGATGGATATTCCGATTTACAACGTTGACCTTTTTCTTGAACTCTAAAACTGGCGTACTGAAGAAGGTCTTTAAAATGGCATAAACTAAAATGAGTGGTTGCTGGGCTAAAAGTCAGCCAATTCCTAAAATGACCCACAGACATCAAAATAACTCAGATCTCATATCAGGATATGTAACACAGTTTCCATGACCATGGCACAAACTCAGCCTTGGATGAAAAGAGGAAATGGATCAGGGTCATACGAAGTGGCAAATAAAAGGTTGACCCTTGTTAGGTCGTTTCCTGTCGTCCTTCATCTGACCTCCTGTATGTCACGGTTCTAACTTGAAAATGCTCTGAAGTACTACAGAAACCACCCGACCAGCATCCTCTCTGGACTCCCATACATAGAGCACGCAGTCCTTTCACAACTGCAAGGCTGAATCCATCCAAATGTGACCTGAAGGGCATGTCAGTGTCAATGTGTTTGCCTACGTGAGCATGTGTGTGCACGCCTGAAACAGATGGTCAGCCTGCTGCTTAAAAGTGACCATGCTGAAGGCCACTGTGTTAACCGTCACAAAACAACAGTCATCCCATGGGCATTTTCAGCAAGACAACTTGGTAAATGGGCTGTCCCACCTCGGGTACTCAAAGTGTTACAGTGTTTCCACATGTACCGACTGATGACGCACCATCAGGAACAACTTGGGGGGGTTTAGTATCTTACTCAAGGACACCTTGACCAGGTCCCAATGGCTGGGGATTGAACCCCCAACCTCTCTACCACTGAGCCATAGCGCCCACGACAACAACACTCTTGTGAAAAGAAGAGCAAGTTGCTGAAACACTGAACAGTTGGGCATGTGCCTTCAAAAGGTTAGAGAAAGCCAAATGAAGTTCACCTTGAAAGGTTATCCTGCATTTAAGGTTCATTGTGAAATTCTCCAAAGCTGAATATAATAACAACCTTATTTCGCCAACAGAGTAGATTCCCTCAGGCAGACAGGATGGTGAAATTTATTGTCATTGTTTATTCTGTTTTTTGTTTCTATGCTGTGCCATTTTTAAGATTAAGAATTGAATCTTGTTGAGCTGCAGTGCAATGATGAATAAATTCTGATTCTGAACTTTACATCCGATAACACTGGTTAACAGCAACTTTTTAATCAGAGATTGCTTTATGTGTCCCCAAACATATTTCTGACACAGATATAAAAATTGGTTTTACCTTTTTTTCTGACCAAATCTGTTTTTTGAGACATTTTAATTTGTTGTTTTAAAGTTTGACCACTAAAAGCTTGCATAATCCCGATTTTAACATGGTTTGTTATTAATAGCTATAACATTTCAGAAAAAAAAAATGCACCTGCGACTGAACCTAACCCTTAATATTACCAATTATATTACTGAATAGTATTACTACTAGTATTCTTATTCTTGTTATTATTATTGGTATTTTTGTTATTGTCGTTGTTCATATTATTGTTGCTATTGTTCATGCTGTTGTTATTGTCAGTAGTCATAATATCCATCCATTATGATCATTCTCATAATTAAAACCTAATGTGCTGGAGAGAAACATTATGGCAGATTCGGACTCAGCGCGATAAATCACTGAAAAAAAAAATCTCTGATTTCAAAACAGCAGTAGAATTTTTTTCACCACTGTAATAATTTTTTATTTAGGAGGAGCTTTGAGAATTAAATCAAACAAAACCAAAAACAAAGGCACCACAAGACTCACAATGCTGTCATTGCTATGAAATCTCAACTTTTATAGCTCTGCCCCTGCAAACAACAATTACACACAATGATTTGTTACACTATCAGTTCAAGTTGAAGCCATTCGATACGTTTGTTGTCTTCTGAAAACAAGAAACACAAATCATCGCACAGCACTATAGGTTTAATGCCGCACACTGTACTTGGAGCAGGAAACATGATCAGCAGAGTGACAGAAAGGAGCAATAACGCAACAGAGATTGCTGAGTGAAATAAGCCGCAGGTATGTAAACTGGAGGAAGTGATGATGCAAGGACGCTGAAGTGGCCTCTTGTGTCTTTCTCTCACCCCTTCCAAGACTCGCACAGATCCGGTTACACTGATTGAGCAGTAAGTCACTTGGAGTCAAACTCAAGTTATCTGATCAAAAGTCTGTTTCGAAGAAACACTTCCCAAGACAAAGAGCAACACTCTTCCCTCTGGCATGACCAACCTTCACTCTATGAAGGACATAATGTCATACGTCAAAGCGAGAACATTTTTGCTTTGATCTGAAGTTGGTTGGTAGGTGCGATGCTGTTGGAGGAATTGGCAATAGAAGCTCTCTGATAGGGCAATGTATTTTTAGTTCATGAAGGAAAGATCAGTGTGACAAAATGTTAAACTTTATCAGTCATCCTAATATTGGTTCTCACGGAGGAGCTGGGTGCCCTTCAGCCAGCTTTTATGAAAACAGATACACATCTGATCAAGTTTAGTAGGTTTTCTGATATGGGGTTGACACACTTTTAGATTTCTTTCCATGTACAACAGGTAAAAGCTCCTCTCAAAAGTTTTTGTTCCCTAGTTTGTCGCTCAGGTTCTTCTGAAACATACTGGTAAGAGTGCCTTTAACTTTTTTTAATGGCATCTACTGGCATGCGTGTAATCTTAATGATGGCCACACATGACAGCACAGACCACAAGCAGAGAGGGCAAAGATAGCCAAAATGTTCTGCAGCATGCACACCGCACGCTACCCCCTCATTGTAATAGTTAGACTCCCTTCCAAAACACACCCAACCCCTCCGCACTGCACAAGCAGAGGAAATTGTACTTCAGACATAAAACGCATACGGTCCAGCATGTCATAAAAACAACTCACAAGCTGTGGCCTTAAAGAGAATAAAATATGCTTTGATTTAACATATGGTAGATGGACTGTGAGGACTGAAATACAACTCACACATGTGCTGCACACTGTACATGGTGCAATGGGGCACAGGGCGGGATGTTAACAACAAGAGTTACCGCAAAGTATCCACAGACGCTACAATTAGGACTTTAAAACGCTTTAGAATGCAAAAATTTGCTCTTTTGCTCAAGATCCTTTTTACTCGTTAGCTGTTGCTGCACCTTCACATCTACAGTTTTACAATGCATCCAAGGCAGGGGCGTGCAGAGGGTGGGGCCAATGGAGTGGTAGCCCCAGCCTCCGTCTGAGAGGAGGGGGGGATCCACAGCACGTCACACCCTCAAAAAAATGTTTTCTGTCCATGTCCGTTGGCAATCGTAGATGAAGGGATTGATGGGCATACATTTAGGAAACATTACATCCGTCCCCCACAACCCTCTCCCCTTCCCTGTCGACATTTTTCAACGTCATGGTCGTCGACGATCGTGTATTTACGGAAATGGTGAAGGCGCATCTGGCTGGGAATATTGGGAAAATGTCCATCCGTCAACCAACCCCGTGCCACTTCACCCCAGTGGACAAATTATTTTAGAAGGGCATTAAAATCGACCAGTCGCCGCAGGCATGCAGTGTGTTGCATGCCACTAACCACCAGTTGACATCCACAATAAAGCTGTCAAAAGACATGCAACATTTTGAAGCTGACTTTAGAATTTGGAAAAAAATTAAAATCCAATCTTTTACAGCTGATACTAAGCAGCTGTAAATCTTGTGATCGGCCCTGATTTCCATTGACAACCCTGTTAGATGCTAGGAGGAGGAGCCAAGAGTTACAAAAGAAAACGGAACCTTAAACAATGTGTTCAATTTGAAAATTGTAATGATGATTGCTAATAGGATGATAAAAAGTTATACTATTATCTGACTTAGCCATCAAAACATATTTCCTCATTTTTCTGGCTTAGAACCATCTGTAATAAATACTACTTACTACTAGTACTTCAATTCTGTCTTTTGTCTTTATGGTGTTGTCACAAACAAAATGGATGTATTTTCTGTGCTGTCGGGTGACTTAAATCTCTATATCTGGATATGTTAAGCTATTCGGCACACTTTGAGACCAGTAAATTTGCTTGAAGACATTATCACATGACTTTTGCCCACTTGGAGCACCAAAACTTTGCAAGGTCAGCTGATTCGTGAGATGACGTGTGCATCAACACATTCAACTAATTCACACACACACACACACACACACACACACACACACACACACACACACACACACACACACACTGCATCTCAATATGCATATTAGAGACTCGAGATA